CCTGGGCCACTCTCATGATATAATGCTGAGTGAACTGAACACAAAGGACTCAACACTTGTTCAGGATTTAAAAACCCAGACAGAACTAATGCATAATGCTTTAGGATCGAGGCTGCCCTTGCGGGGTGAGTGCAGGGATGATTGTAACTGGAATGAGCGTGGGTCGGAAGCCTTCTGTTTCTTCACCTGGGTGCTGGTTACATGGGTGTGTTCACTTTATGAAAATTAAGCTGTAAGCTTGTGTTTCATGCCCTTCTCTGAATTTATGTTACACTTTAATTTCTCTTTTTTTTAAAGTTAACCGTGATAACTTTAAAACTCATAATTTGTTGAGATGGTTTCTGAGGGCAGGTTTTCATGATGTATATTCTTTCATATTTTCATTTTTTATAATTCTTATCATTATAACTATAGCTTGTTCATTCCCAATTAAAACTAATTGACATTATTTTGTTAATTCTAAGGGATAGTGGTAAAGCAAAGGTTTGAGATGATGAGTGGCCCACTGCAGGTCCAGGCAATAGGAGGTTCATTGTCTGCAGAGAATTTTTAGATGCCAAAACCATCTAAAAATTGTTTTCATTTTTATTATCAGCATATATCCAAAGTTCTAAATAGTGCAATTGATAAAATAGTCCTCAAAAAAAAAAAAAAATCCTTTGTTGGCCTAAGCCCTAAACTATTGGTGAAATCAGTGTAGTGTTTTTATTTCATATGTACATATACATATATAATATCCTTCAAATTAGCACACTTGTATTACTTATTCATTATATCACTAATCCTTTAATAACACATATGACTCAGCCTTGTATTCATTTCTAGAGCAAGTTATTAACAGTTTGGAATCATTTGCGCTGCAGTCTCCATGGTGCTGCTTCTTCACCAGTTAAACAGTGGAGTCAGAAATGATGACACAGTAATTATGAAGATGAGGAAATAGAGCTTGAGTTTCTTCAATTCTGTCATTCTCTGTTAAGTACTTATGGAGATTTTGTGTTTAAAATTTAAACAAAACAGAGTGTTGATTATTACTGAAAATAATTTTGGCCAGGAAAGGAAGGGGAGATCTTAGAAATGAACCACTCAGGTATGCCCTGCTCTGGGGCAGCTCCTTCCACCAGCATGGAAACACATAGAGACGGAAACTTTAAAGTTGTGAAAATTTTTAGTTTTACTAACATCAGGTTATGGTCAATACTATTTTAAGCTTGGTTAGTATTTTTAAATTGTATATATTGACAACTTATTTTGTATATTTATTTCTATGTTTCCTTTAGATCTTAAGTGTCCCGGTTTGCTTACATTGCAAATCTTTGGCTTGTCAAAAATAATGCCATGGAAATGAATAGAAAGAAAAATAAAGCATTTAAAAAAACAAAAGAAAACAAAACATTGTGCCTAGGGAGTTGTGGTGTAATTCTTAAGAAATCCCCCTCCTTGTTCAATCACCGAAGTAAGTGAAGGTTGACAGTTTTTAAAACAATAACCTAATTCCATTCACTCTTTCGTTGACTCCTCCACCCATTGCTTATTTCCCTGTGCCTGGCCCACACTCCACCCCTTACATCACAAACACCTAACTTGCTTTTGACTGCTCACCAGTCTTTCAGAGCAACTTGATTACATCAAAATTGCAAATTTGTTTAAATTACAATATTAGCTAGCAGTGCGTTAAAGCCCACTCTTTCAAAGCTGGGACTTTTTTAATGGTGAAAGGAAGGAAAGTAAAAATAATTTCTGATGCACCTTTTCTCGCATGGTTATTGGGAAGCATCCTAAATATTCATCAGTAGAGCATTTATTAAATTATGGACCATCTGGGCAATGGAATAGTATACAGCCACTAAAAAGTGTGGCTGTTCATTTTTTTAAATGGCTGTTCTTTTTAATACTGATATTGTGTATCAGTACTGCATGAGCTCTAAGATGTAGTTATAGATGTATTTTTTAAAACAAGGTTTAGAAGAGTGCTACTGTTTGTGCACAAAAAAGGTGAGGGGTTGTATATGCTTAAATATCTACATGCTAAATATTTCTAAAAGGAAACTTGAGAGACAGATCATACTGGCACCTGGGGAGGTTGGCAAGTTCAGGGGTAGAAATAAAGTGTACACCCTTTATCCAGTTTGATTTCTTTATTACCATATGAATGTTTTGACATTTTAAAAATGCCAAAACTTGTTGGCACAAACTACATCATAATAGAGTCGTCCCTCAGTATTCATGGGGGATTGGTTCCAGGAACCTCCACAGATAACAAAACGCCCAGGCGCTCAGGTCCCTTATAGAAAATGGTGTAGTATTTGCATAACCTACGCATATCCACCCATATGCTTTAAAGCATCTTTAGATTACTTAGAATACCTAATACAATGTAAATGCTATATAAATAGTCATTACACTGTATTATTGAGGTAAACATGTCAAGAAGAGCCTGCTCATGTTCAGTGCAGACTCAGCCATTATAGGCCTAACCACGAAGTACACGTCTGCACCATGTAATGTGTTTTTTCTAATCGCTCAGTCCGCAGTGGGTTGAGTCTGCAGAGGCAGCACCCGCGGGTAGGGCGGGCCAGCTGTGGTAAGAGCATAACCCCAGGAGGAAGGTCCCTGGTAATCCCGCCACCACGGAGCGCCTGGGCTGCTCACAGGCACTTAGTGTCAGCTGGGGGCGGGCACGCAGTGGACGCCCTTGAGGCCCTGTGGGAGGCTGGGACGTAATTCCAGGGTCAGAGCTCCAGTGTGCCCCAGACACGTCGATCCTTTCTCCTCTGGGGGCCGGAGCTCGGGTGGACCCCTGGGCCACGTCGGCCTTGGGTAGCCTGGATACAGATTTCGGTTTGGGAAACACGTCCAATTTCCCCCGATTAAGCTGCTCTTCCATGCAGCCAAATGTCAAACCTTTGAATGTGACGAAAATGCACACCTGGGAATTTTTATTTACTTACGATTTATGCCCAGTATAATTCCAAAAGCTAAATGTGAGAGAGTGTTACTGGATTTATGGATAATATAAAAAGTAAAAGCAGATTGGAATCCAGTAAAGGGGCCTGTACACTGGTTGTTAGTAGCTATTAGAAGTACCTGGGTAAGTTAATTACTGCAGTTGAGCACTGAATTTAGCTTTGAATTCTTGGCACATAAGGTGAAAGGGGGGAACGTAAAGTATATAGTTCTTTTTATATGAAGCCAGAAAATAGGAAGTTTTGCCTAAGGAAAAGGACATTTCCTGATACTCAACTCAAAAGGGAAATTCAATGCAGATCCTTACTAAAAATATATATTGAATGAGTGAGGTCTTCCTGGTGGTTAGTCAGTGCCTGTCAGGGTATTGAAATTAGCCAGTCAGAATGTGCCAAACCTCACAGAGTGTGTATAGTCTCCTTTGTGCATCAGATCTGTTTCTGTCTCGGCGGTCGCCACAGTACAGCTACCCTCTCTCATCTGAATGGCTATGAAGGGCTCCTAATCCATCTCTGCGTTCACTCCTACCCTTCCAGCGTCCTCTCCAGGCTGCGGTCAGGTCTGCCGTTTTAGAATGCAGATCTGATTATACCCCATCACCCTCTCCGTCCCATATGCTTGCAACTCCTACATCCCTCTGGTTTTAGGATATAAGACCCAGATCCTCCCGCCTCCCCAGCCTCTTCTGCCACCGTCTCTCTCCCTTGCTGTTGTTTCCAGCCTTTGCTTAGCCCTGTGTCTGGCCATGCACCCTTTGAACACAGCCTCTCTCTCAGCGCATGCTCTGCCTGCCTGTGCCAGCAGTTCCTTTGGATCTGAGCTGCGTCACCCTCAGAGCCTCCCTGACTCCGAGGGCCCCTCCCAACTGTTGTTTGTTCTCTTGTCCCTCTGTGTCCCTCTCAGGAGTGCTCACCTCTGTTGTGATGGCCTCCCTGCTAAACAACAGGGGTTGGCTCAGCTTGTGCTCACTCTCTGACCCCAGCTTTACACCCCCTACCTGATGGTTGAGCAGTGGGAGTCAGGAGGTATTCAGGGGAACAGACCTTCCATCGGTGATCTAGATGCCACAGCCTCCCAGCCTCCTTTTCCAATAGACCTTATGCCTGAGACTTTTCTCTCTGAAACACAGTTCTGATCACATCTTCTCCTTGTGCCAGAACTTTCAAGGGGTCCTCATTTCCTACAGGATTCAGTCCACACCTCTTATTTAGCCCTCCCCAAGCTGGGCCCAGTTGCGTTTCTCGCAGGTCCCTTAGTCTTTCCACCATAGCAAGAATGAAGTCCTGGGCTTCTGCCCACACTGTTCCCTCAGCCCATCTCTGCATGCTGAGATCTTCAAAATCCCTTAAATAACACTCTTGGGTGAAAGTAGTGCCTCCCATTATCTGAACTCTGAGTACCTTTGATATGGTACTGATTTTCTGTCTGAATTATAACTATTTTATGCATATATCTCCCACATTAGGTTGTAATCAAGTCCTATATAGTGTCTAGCATGAGCCTCATGTAGTAGGTAACTCATAAAAATGTATTCAATGGGTGGTGATTTGTGTTAAATATTAGCATCTCTGTAAGCAAATATTTAATAGCAACCATTTCCTCTCTAGATGCTTAATTTATCGTGAAGTTTTTGTTTTTACATATATAACAATGCTGTAGATTCTCCTTTTAAATATCTCTGAAGATTAGTGAATATGAATTCAGTTCTTATACAGTGGACCCTTGAACAACATGGGTTTCAACTGCATGTGTCCACTTATAAGACCTCATGTATCTTCTATTACAAAGGCACAGCATTATTCTGATACTGAGTGCAAGAAAGTGAAACAAAATAGGTTCACGTAGCCTGTCATTTTAAGGGAAGACTGCCCAAATTTGTACTCTCTTCAAAAAAGTGACCAGTGGGCCATCACACCCGTTTCTAGATGAGCATCCACTCAGTCAGAATGGAGGCCTGACCCTGACCGCTACTGCTTGTTGCCATGACTCCTGCGACGAGAGCATAACCCTCACCTCCATTTCCTTTCCCACAGGCCGACTTAAACTGCAATATTCAAGATGATGCCGGGGCTTTCTATGGTGTAACCAGTCAGTATGAGAGTTCTGAAAATATGACAGTCACCTGTTCCACCAAAGTTTGCTCCTTTGGGAAGCAAGTAGTAGAAAAAGTAGAGGTAAGTTGGCCTCTGTATACTGGGACCTTCTTTCAAGGCGAGACTCTGCTGCCCTTTAAATCTTTATTGGGGCAGAGAGTTCTGCCTTTTTTGGTTTCTTCCTTCCCGCCTCTCCTCTCACTTTTCTTCCCATTACTTCTAAAAAAAGGCAAAATTATTTGAAGGCAACTGAAAGAAGGCCAGGAGGAAGTCCCATGCCAGCCCCCCTTGACTATTAAGTTGGCCCTGCCCTGCGGCCAGCAGTGCTGTCCTGCAAGAGGCCCCATGGGGGGCCCTGGTGTGGAAGCTGCCACCCATCAGGTGAAGCCTTGCCACCCACTCCAGTTCCAGGGGCAGCCCCGGCACTGTAGAGAACAAGGTGCGATTCAGCTGATGGGCCCTGCCTCTGAACCCCTTCCTTGAGTGTGCTATTGTTGCTTTTGGCACTTCTAGCCCTTTCATTATAATTGTTTTAAGTCTATCCCTGTACATACTGGGATCAAATATTTATGGCTTTGTAACTTTATGCCTCCCTTTTTTTCAAAAATATTATATGTTTGTTATATATCAGAGTGGGTTGCTTTGTGTGAGTGATATTTGCAGTTGGCATTCCATTTAGGGTTTTTTCCAGTGTTTCTGTTCATCACCCAGTTGACCCATGTTTACTGAGAAGCTTTTATTCACAACAGTCCTGTCATGGGAGCCCATCCTGTGACAAAGACTTTGTGCTGAGGTGAGAGAGAAAGGGGGGGAATGCATTGGGGAATAAGGAGGAGGAAGGATGTTTTCTAAGACCTTGGGCTGAACAATGAGGACTTGGGGGGCTGCAGGCCCTCAGCTGTGTGAGTACAGAACAGACGTCCTGAGAATGGTGTTAAGGAGGATGACGCTGGCAGAAGGGGGGATATAGGTGAGCTGACTAGACGGCCCATTTAAGCTTAGGGGCCACGAGCTTTACTAAACTGGTGGCAGTGGGGATCCAGTAAGACATTTTGAGTGGGACTTAGAAACTGACTGGATATTTAAGGTTAAAGAGGAGGAAGAGTGAAAGGTCACTCACTTTGTCCTTGGAAGGACAGTGCTGTCACCAGCAGAGATAAGGAGATGGGGTGTTCAAGAGAAACTAGGGCATGATGATAGATGCACGACTAAAATTTGGGAGACAGGTAAAGACTGAAAATGTTGGGAATCCTAAGCATTAAGGATAATTAAAGGTGGGAATGGAGATCTCGTTGCAGAGAGGGAGTAGCAGGAGCATAGAAATAATGAGGCAGCTGGGGAGCAGCGGCCAGCCCTGCCGTGCCTGGAAGGAAGACCAAAGGAGCAGAAGGCAAGGACGGGGGAGGGAGGAGGGGAGCCGGCTCAATGCAGGGTCTAGGAAGCTCGGGGAAGGGCGGGTGAGAAGGTGGCTGGTAGTGAGACAAACCTGGAGGACCTAGAACCCACTTACCCCCCCCTCCTCTGAGGAGGAAGCAACGTCACCTGTCTGTGGTGGGGAACCTGGAAGGTTAGTGCTGGGCCCTGCTGCCCAGTAGCCAAGTTGCGAGTTGTCGGGGCTTGTCTGTAAGTGGACCCCTTGCCCGGGCAGGTGCATGTGAGAAGAGGTGAACCGGACAAGTTAGTTTCCCAGATTTCAAATTACCCTTCATCCTGTCCTCAGGCAACACACCCAGAGCTCTCTGATAGTTCAGGGAGCCGTGAAAGGTCGCTTCTGACTGATGAAATCCCAGGAATTTTCACGGAGAAGGTAGTCTGAGTGCGGCAGGTGGAGTTTTCAAGTTAAGCCTTTAACCCATTTAGAATGTACTCCCGCATTGGGTGTGTAAGGGGAGGCTCGTATTCTCTCCCAAATGGGCAGGCGTTCATGTCAAAGCCGCTCGTTGAATGATTCGTCCTTTCCCAGCTGAGTGGGTCTGTGCGCTTGAAGTTACCACGTAAACTGGGAGCTGTCCCTGGCCTCTCCCTGCTCCCCACCCTCTAGCTCTACATGTGCCAGGGCCATGCGTGTTTACTTACAATGGCTTTGTGATGTGTTCAGGTATCTGCTGAGGAAGTCAGTCTCACCAGTCTTCTTTTTCATATATTTTCTAGGTTAGTAACCAGCATTTATTCTTCCAAAGAATGAGATCATTTTAAAAATGTAAAGAGAAACAAAATCTTATTTGAGCAATCTAATTGTAATTGCATTTGATTGAGATATTACTTGGGGATAAATTGATAGATAATTGATATTAAATCTTTCCAATCAAGAACCTATTTTCATTTCCATCTCATTTTACCTATTTTAATAAAACTTTATAGTTTTTATATATAGGTTTATTCCTTTCTGGCTAAATATATTTCTAAGTGTTACATAATTTGTTAATACAATTTTCCGTTTCTAGATTTTAATTACTAGAAAAGAGAAAAGCTCTTGGTTTTTTAATATCTATGTTCTTTCAAAACATCTTACCATATTTGTTGTATTATTCTGTGGTCATAGATTTCCCCTAGATTTTTGGGTTTTCTACATATATAATCTTATTGGCAGCTTTGTTTTATCTCTTCTTCTCCAATGTTGATGCCAGTTTTTTAAAATTACTATTTTCTCACCTTTTAGTTTGCTAAAACCTCGACACAGTTGTAAAAAGAAATAGTGATGTATAAATAGGAGTCTCCTTGTATAGTTCCTGATGTTAGTAGATACAGTTTTGGTGTTTTTCCATGAAGGATTATATTTATTCTTGGTTTTATAAATGGTCTTTATTTTATATTTAAGTGCCTTCTTTAATTATTTTACTTAGGATTTTTATTAGTAATAGCTGCAATATTTTATAAAATGCCTTTTCAGCAACTCTTACTATATGATTTCTCTGATTTTTTCTCCCATTGGTTGACATCACAAGTTAGCACATGTCCTGTGTGCACCACCCCAGCATTCCTGAAGAAGGCCTTACTTTGGTTACATTGATGCATTCTGTTTGCTATTTTACGAAGCATTTTTGCATCTCATAAGTGCCATTAGTCTATGCTTTTCTTTTTTATAATCTCTTTATTAAATTTCAGCATTGAATGTAATTCAGTTTCATAAAAAGAATGGGGACACCTACCTTTTTCTGTGGTCTGGCGTGACCCTGAAAATAAGTATTCTTTAAATTTACATACAACTTGGCTGTGAAACCATCTGGTCTTTGTACCCTTTTCAGTGGTAGATCTCTAAGCAACTTTCTAGTCATTTTCACAACCACTGACCAATTTAAGTTGTACTTTGCTAGAAAAGCATCCTACCCTCCAGGTTTTCTTTGCTTGTTTCCCCTCTTAAGGTTATGTGAAGTAACCTCTTGTAAATCTTCTAATCTCTACTCTAATCATGGTTTTGTCTCTTTTTTTTCCCCTCTCCTTCATAAGCTTGTGAAGAGTTTATTTTATTTTGTCTTTTTTAAAGAACCAGTTTTTACATTTATTCTGTCTGTATTTTTAATTTCTGTTACATTGATTTGCGCTTTTATCTTTATTAATCTCCTACTCTTGGTTTCTTATGATTTTTCTGTGGTTTTGTTTTGTTTTGTGGGGTTGTAATTTTTTAAAGATGTATATTTAGTTCTGTAATTTTTCGTCTTTAATGATGAAGACATGAAGCTGCTTCATTAAGTCTCCTCCATGTGGAGCTTCATTGGGTCCCAGAGTTCTGATGTATTTTCCTTTTCATTACTCTTTGGGTAGATTGTAATTTCCTTTTTGATCCGAGGTTATCCAGGAGTGTGTTTCTTATTTCTGAGTGCTTCAGTGGGATCTTCAAACTGCATCTATACAAGTATTTTCTTTCTTTCTTAATTAAAGGCATAAATAACTAACAGTCAGGGACTCGTGGTGAGTGTGAAGTAGTTTTTTCTAAAGTAGAGAAATTAGCCAAATTGTTTCTTGGCCTGTGAGACCTTATCACAATAAAGAACTTCTTTGGGGCTCTTTGAAGACTTGGAGAAGGCTGGTGCTGCTCTTCTAGATCTCTAGGTCGAGAACCACTGAGTAGGTGGTTATGTTGTTTTCTGACCTTTGCTGAAAAGGATTTATGCTACTCTTCTTTAAAGTGATCAGCTTTCCTTTTTTTTTTTTTTTTTTT